TATATATATAATAAAATGGCAATAACCACATACCTATCAACAATTACTTTAAATGTAAATGGATTAAATGCTCCAATCCAAAGATAGGGGGGCTGAATGGATAAGAAAATAAGACCCTTACATATACTGCCTACAAGAGATCACTTCAGATTGAAAGACACACACAGACTGAGAATAAAGGGATGGAAAAAGATATTTCATGAAAAATGGAAACAAACAAACAAAAAGCTGAGGTAACAATACTTTTACCAGACAAAATAGACTTTAAAACAAAGACTATAACAAGAAAAAAGAAGGACTTAGTAATCCCACTTCTGGGCATTTATCCAAAGAAATCCAAAATGCTATTTCAAGGGGACATGCTCATCTATATGTTCACTGCAGCAATATTTACAATAACCAAGATATGAAGGCAGCCTGGGTGTCCCTGAACGGATGATTGGATAAAGAATAGGTGGTACATATTTACAATGGTATATTACTCAGCCATAAAAAATGAATGAAAGAAAAAAAAGAATGAAAAAAAAATAAAAGAATGAAATCTTGCCATCTGCAACAACCATGGATGGACCTAGAGGGTTGAGTGTAGGAAGTCAGACAGAGAAAGACAAATGTCATGTGATTTCACTTATAAGTGGAATCTAAAGAACAAAATAAACAAACAAACAAACAAACAAACAAATTAATAGATAAAGAGAATATTTTGATGGTTACCAGATGGGAGAGGAATTTGAGGTGGGTGAAAAAGGGGAAGGGATTAAGAAATACAAATTGCTTGTTACACAGTAATCATAGGGATATAGAGTATAGCATAAGGGATATAGGCAATAACATTTTAATAACTATGTATGGTGTCAGATGGGTACTAGATTTGTTGGGGTGAAAGATGGGAGGGATGTTGGGGGCAAGGTGGAAAAGGTGAAGGGATTAAGAATACAAATTGGTAGTTATAAAATAGTCATGAGGATGTAAAGTAAAACATAAAGAATATAGTCAATAATATGGTGATAACTATGTGTAGTGAGTGCAAGTGAACACTAGTCAGGGGGATCACTTCATAAATTATATAAATTTCTAGCCACTGTGTTGTACATCAGAAATTAATATAAAATAATATTGAATGTCAAAAAAAACTGATTTAAAAAAATAGCACCCACCACATAGGGTTTTTGAAAAATTAAAATTCTTGTAAAGAACTCAGAAGAATGTCTTACCCACAGTAGGTTTTCAATAAACAATAGCTAGTAATAGTGATAGTAGTGGTAGCAACAGCAGCAACTGCAGTAGTAGTAGTAGTAGTAGTAGTAGTAGTAGTAGTAGTAGTAACAGAAGCATTAGTACTAGTAGCAGTACTAGTGGTGATGGTAATAGCATTAGTATTTGCTATAGTCAATAGTAGCAGCAACAGAGAAACAGCAGAAATTGTATGCTGTAACTATGATCAAATCTGTCTCAGGTCAAAAAGAGTCAGTTAAATTATAAACAACATCTTCCATTAACACTGTTATTGTGCGCAAAAGATTTCATCTCTCATACTTAAGAGTCTGAAAGTAACCTGTTTCTTTGCTTTGAAATTGGATGAAAAGCATAGATGGTGTTGACACCATATTGCATATTTATGGATGAACCCAATAAAGGCTAGGGAACATCTACTTTCTTTAAATAATAAGAAATGTATCAAGGGATCTCCAAGCTTAGGAACAATAGCAGGGAGTCTGATTCTGAGGTCCCTGGTAACAGCCTTGCCTGCCAGGAATGCTGCATTAGCCTATGGTGTTGCTGACCAGCTGAGCCAACTCTTGGCTAAGCTACCAAAGTGAGGAAGGAAATCAAGTCTCCAAGGCCATCAGATTTGTCTCTCATCATCTGGCTAAATATTTTTAATTTGGGATTTTATTATTTTTCTTCATGGAGGAAATGAATGGACACACAAAGAGTAAAAAATGATAAAGCCTGCAAAGGAGGTTGGCAAAACTGAATGTTTTTACTGCCCATCAGTGGAAATGAAGTTTGAGAGCTGGATGAAGAGAATTGACTGTGACAAGTGATGAATTGTTTGAGGCTTTTGGATTTTTTATATGTGTTACACACTGTAGCATTAATGTAAACTATTAATGTAAACTATTCATGTTTTCAATGAAGAAATGGAAATATATTTATAGTGAGGATATTAAAGAATTTTCTGTTATGTGTCTTCACTGAAAATATATTTCCCTGCAATAGTACAAGAGACTGACAAGTTAACTCACAGACATTTTTCTTGTATTGTGATACAAGCAATCTCATCTCTCAGAAGGAAGATTTCAATAAGAAATTCCCATCAGCCCAACAATATCCCAGATTTTTGGCAAAGCTCAGGAGTCAGTAAAAAAGCATTCTCAGGCATTTCCACAGATGAGTGTGGCTTCTGAAATACAGTGGCACTAAGTCAGAGAAACTGCATGGATATCTGCTCATTTATGGTTCTCTCTTTGTTCAGCTCCACCGAAGTCCCACGAATGGATAAACTCAATAGGATAGTATCTTGCCTAATAACCAATGAGAAGGTTGGGAAATATTTTTCTGTGTTGCTTGTGGTGGGGTGGTTCCAGATGACACCCCCAGACTCTCAGAAGAATGAGTTCACTCCCTCTGTTATAAGGAGTTCTTTCTTGGAAAAATTTGAGGAACATTATCTTCAAATCTATTTTTCTCTCACAGCCAACAACCCTTTCGCAACAGATAGGCCTATTCTACCTCCTAAACATCCCTCAAAATAACCCATATTCCTCCACATTCTTAGTCCATGTTGTCATCATTTGTTGCTCCAGGGAGTGCAGTAATTTCCTTCCTATCGGGGCTTATGCTGCCTGAGGGTACTGCTAACTGCTATAAGAAATAAACCTCCAAATTAATCACAGAAGTTGATTTCTGGTGTTTCTGTTCAGCGGTGGCCTTCCTCACAGTGTTTTCAGTGCTCCTTTGTTCTTGCAATACCATCAGGAGGGAATCAGCAATTTTTTTTTTCTCTAAAGTATCAAATAGTAAACATTTTAGGCTTTGCAGGCTGTATAGTCTCTGTCACAACTGCTCACCTCTGCCAATATAGCCAAAAGCAGCCATAGATGTACCTTAATGAGTATGACTGTTTTAATAGAACTTTATATATGAATACTGAAATTTGAATTTCACATCATTTTTACCTGTCATGAAGTATTATTCTTCTTGTGGTTGTTTTCCCCAACCATTTAAAATTTTTAAAAACCATTCAATTCAAGGGCCATACAAAAAACAGGTGGCGAGCTAGATTTGGCCTGCAGGTCATAGTTTGGTGACTCTTGTATAAGAGTGAAAAGAAAATCAAATATAAAGTATTGTGGCCTGATGATTTAAACTGCTTAGAGTTGTGTTCTTTTGTTTTAGCAACTGGACATAAAGTGTTTGCCTCTTTGCTTTTCTTTTTAACAGGCTCCGGAAATATGGTGGCGTCACATCCCATTGCTGCCAGCACCCCTGAAGGGAGCAGTTATGGGGCAATAGGTATTTCCTACAATGAGTCCATTCATGGAAGTGTTTCCTAATTCTCGAGAGAATAGGATACAAAGGGGCCTCCAGCCACTAATAACTCTGAGAGTGGGCAACAAAGTCATTACATTAGATTATATTGCCTTTATAAAAATGAATTGGTTGGATGATCTGAAAGGTTCCTTCCAGTTCTAACTTTCTCCAGTTCTGTTATTCTGTTTCTTGGATCTGCTAGCCACACATTAGCAGAATTCCCTACAATGGTTGCTATCAACTCCCAAGAACCCCATGGGGATTTTTTTCATACCCAGCCTGACTTTAGGACATGAAAGATGTGTCAGAGTCTGATGTCAGAGGGCCCAACCTCAACTGACGAGTTGTTTCATTCTCAGGTTTCAGTGGAGTAAGGGCGATCAGAAGACTAAGGCTGTGCTGCAGGTGAACATGGCTGAAGCCTAACAATCTTCCATTCTGGCTAGCTTCATAACTGAACCTGCTCACTGCCACCCAGTCATTCACAGGGCAGCCCCCAGGGTTCGTTAAGTGGCCTGAAAAGAACAGAATCCCTAACACTGTCTTGTTAGAGTAGGAGTGCTTTGATGCTTCCATGCACTTCCATGATGCTTATGGGCCTATGAATGAATGGTGCACCTTAAAATGTCAGTGTAGGGGAACTGGGAATCCTGTATTCCTGTCCTATTATTCTTGGACTTTGAGAAGCATGTGGGCTCAGTGCAGGCAACTTATTTCTGGCTCTGCCAGAACAGGGTTGTTTTTTGGTTTTTGGTTTTTAACCATCTGAACAGAAGAAATAAAGCGGAAGGTAGGCTTGGCTCATGTGCTCATCAAGCTGCACAAATTCCCATCTGCTCTGGGAAACATTCGCAGGAACACAAGAATTCTTCTTCCTGAGAATGTTGTTCTCATTATGTAATCATAGATGTGGCATGTGGGGGATTTCTGTGAACAAATACTTTATCCACAAGCCATGTATAGCTGCTGAATATGTGTGTGCTGACATGTATGTGTGGTGGATGTCATGCACATGTGCATGTGTATGTTTATATATTTATGTTCATATTTTAAAATATGAAACATGAAATATAGCATATTATTTTTGCATCTAATAGTTAACAAAGCATATGTCTTTATATTCTTAAGATGCATTCAGCCCTAGAAATAGACAATTTAAATATAAATACAGGAGAAAAGGAAAATTAAACGTCTGCTGAGGAGGAAGTAAGAGAAAGATCATGTGTTGTGGGTAAGGAGTTAGTTTTTACCAACACAACCTTTTCAAGAATGAGTCAGCATGGTGCTTTTTGCTGTGAAGAATGGGCTCCATGGGTTCTTCTTGGCTTTGGAAGGCAGACGAGTGTTCTCTGTTTCAGACGAGTCAAGCTCCAGTCCTGGCAGGCAGGTATCGCCCTCTGAAGGTGGGCAGCCATGCCAGTCTGACACAGACAGCTCCGTGGAGGAGAGTGACTTCGACACCATGCCAGACATTGAGAGTGATAAGAACATCATCCGGACCAAGGTACCTCTGCCTGGCCATACTCTCTGAGAGGACAGAAATTTTGGCAGTTGAATACAACTTCAACAATGCTTTAGTTTCCTTTTTTTTTTTTTTTTTCCATTCAGGAAGAGTCAAATTTCCCAGAGGCTTTTTAGATAAAGTATAACTACAGACTAAAAGCAATACTCTAATTAGCACTCGTTTCTAGAGGAAGAAAATGAGAGTATTAAAGAGAACAGTATTAAAACACTCTCAGGGTTTGAAGTGGCTGCTTGTGGACAGTAAAGGAGAGAGGGATCCAACCAGACATAAGAAAAGATTCAGTGAGGGGTGTATCTACAAAAAATTTCTGGTTCTGTACATATCATCCTTGAGAAATGAAGTTCATTGATTTCTGGTGTATATTTATTATATACTATGTTGTATCCAACAAGGGATGTGAAGGTGCATTGCATGGTTTCATTCCTATAATTCAAGAACCACACAGTGGACATCTCTGAAAACTAGAAAACCAATTCTTGAGATGTAAGAAACACTCGACTCCCAATAGTTTTCCCACATCAGCCAATTCTTAATATTCCAAGGGAAATATTAGGATTTTTATTAAGGTATCCTGGGAAAAGCAAAATTAAAAGAAAAATTTTGTTAAATAATTTTATTCCCTAATGAGGGGTTGAATTGAAATTTGTAAATCTCTCTTTTGTATCTTATACAAAAAAAAAAAAAGTAGAGTTTTTGCATTCTCTTTTCATTTGGCCTCCCAGATGTTCCTTTACCTGTCAGATCTATCCAGAAAGGACCGAAGAATTGTCAGCAAAAAATATAAGATTTATTTCTGGTGAGTAGATAACCATGAGGACCACACTTCTCTTTAATAAAATTAAAGTTTTCTTTGTCAGTCACTTATGTCATGGGATTCAGTGTTTAATGAGGCACAGGTATAGGTGTTTCAAGGATTCATGACACACATTCCATAGGAAAAATAAAAATAAACTCCAAAAGGCAACCAGCCCTAAATTAAATAAATACAAAGAAAAAATAAGAGTATCAGTAGAATCTCATATGTTAAGGGAGCACACTAAACCCTCTTTCAGAAAGATGATGTAATAATACCATTAATGCCACTACCTTCCATGAGACACACTAAATTGCAACCATTTCCTCTTCTCTTCATCAGGCCTTGCTCTTGGAAGCACCAGTGGTCAGGGACTAGATGCCTAGAGCATTTCAGAGTAGCTGGAAGCTACCCTGAGAGGAGATGATACCATCAGCCAATGACAAATAGACACACCTGCGATGGCCAAAAACACAAATGCTGAGAGGCTGAGCTGCCTGTCAGAGGCTTCTCCCCTCCCCTCAGAAACCTCAGGTTGATGCTGCGACAGCTCTTCCCATTCTTTTCTCTGGAAGGATGCCCTTTAATTGGATACAGATATGAGAGGGAAACAAGGGACAATGGGGCCACATGGAATTTCATAGTGGGACCATTATTTTGGAACCAAGAGGCATCTAAGAGAGTTACGTCCTTTCATGTGAGCTAACTCTCATTACTTACACTCTGATCACTTTTAATCTCACAACTTCCTTAAGAGATAGGCTGTCATTAACAACTTGGTTAAATCAGAAGCAACTATTATTTACATTGTTTTACAAATGACTGAAGAAACAGGAACCCCATAATAAGTTTCTTATTGCTTTTGCAAGTTGAGTAGGGAGTTAGGGGTGGAAGCATTCTTTTAAAAAAAAAATTGCGTGAAGATTCCATTGTTAATTTGGAAATAACTATTTCTGGTTCTTTCTACCTGCCTAGGAATATCACCACTATCGCTGTGTTTTATGCACTACCTGTGATCCAGCTGGTCATCACCTACCAGACAGTAAGTATTGCCTTAAACCACAGAATCCAAGTTTTCATACTGCAGGGAGAGATCTTTGCTGTGACTTACAGAGAAAGGTGTAACTTGGAATCAGTCCAAGAATTCGTTTCCCATTTGGGTTCCAATTGGACTTCTCCATTGCTTCATCTTTGACTGACCTTTAAATCTAGTTCCTGATGGTTTTATCGCAGAGGAACCTGGGACCTCTTGTATTATTTTGTCTACCAATCTGAAATTATTACCTTACACTCATTTAGTCATGGCCTCTGTCAATTGTGTCTATTATTTACCAGCTTGAACTTTTTATTATCATGGGATAATGAGTAAATTCCAGACCTAAACAAAGAAACCTGATGTCTTATTTAGCCTGTGCCCTCTCATGAAGGGGAAATTTTCTTTGTAATAGTAAAAACAGCTTCACAAAACTAATAAAATATTAAAATAAAAAGAAAACAAAATAAAAACTAAAATAAAGAAAAACAAAAGAAAAAAAATAATAATGAAAGCTTGAGAATCCCCCCACTTCTTCATAGAACCATGGGGTCCAGTTCACTTAACTGACATTCTCTAGGATTTATTTTACATGAGAAAGCCCATTTAGAGTAGCATGAGGCTGGAGGTATTTCTAATGCAGTGACTCTCAAACTTTACTGTGAATTAAAATCATCTGGGGAGGAGAGCTCCAAGATGTCAGAGTAAATAAACGCTGTGCCTGCTTCCTTCTGTGAACACATTAAAGTAACAACTAAATTATAGAACAACCAACCTGGAGAGTCCTCTGAAGTCTGGCTGAACAGAAGTTTTATAACTAAGGATATAAAGAAGCCACATCGAGACTGGTAGGAGGGGCAGAGACGCGAAACAGGCTGGCCCCAAACCTCTGTGTGGCGGTTGAGAACCAGAAGGGATATCTCAGCCACGGAGTTTTCCCCTAGAGGAGCGAGAGACTCCAGCCCCATCCCAACCTCCCCAGCCCAGAGAACTGGTGTGAGAAAGAGGAGCCCCACATCTGGCTATGAAAAACAGTGGGGATTCTGACCATCTGGGTGGGATAAAAGGCTTCAGGGAACACAGATGTCCTCTTAAACAGCCTGCACACAGATTCTCTTACTCCCAGGCACTCACCCTGGCTTCCAGCGGAGGGACGGTGACTCAAGGGGCATTGGAGGCACGCAGAGGACAGACTGAGGTCTGTGGCTTTGGGGCAGGGCTGGAGGACAGCCGATATTTTCCTTGTGTGGGGTCCTTCTCCCATGCAGCAGGCAGGTGGCCGCCATCTTTCCTGTGTTGAGCCCGCCCTCACCATGGCCAAATCTGAATCTGACTGGTCTGGTGAGCTTCACTGCTCCACCCTGTTGACTAACTGGGAACCCACCCTACCCAACACCCCCAATGCCAGAGGCACTTTCTCCAAGAGCAGCCAGTCCCACCTGCATTACTCTCTTTCTTGGAGAACTACCAGAACCCACAGGCCCCAACTGGACAATGACTGGCCTTGGTGTGCTCTAAGGCTTTTGCTGAGTAGCTCTAGGTTCAACACTGTCACCAAACCAGAGTCTACGTTAACCTGGTGACCACAACTCTTCCCACTCTTTTGACTCCCTGAGAACCTGCCTCACCCAACTTGCATATTGCATGAGGCTTTATCAGTGCTTGAGCCTTAAGGGAGCCAGCATGTGCAGCAGGCCTGGTGTGTCCTGGCTTTTTGCAGAGATACACCAGGCCTGGTACTGTTGGTAGCCATCCTCGGTTTGCAGTGTGTCCTCTCTTACATGCCTCCAACTTTAATACTGGCAGCAAACAACTGCAAATAGCTTGATAGCTCCTACCAGATAATCCCCAGGCAGTCATAGGCAGGAGGTGACCTGGGCCTGCACCAGAGCCCCTCCCAAGAGGCCCCAGAACCAATATACTTGGAGGTGGGCTTCAGATGACAGCAGAGCACCACCCAATTAGCCCTACAAGTGGCACACACAAAGGGCAGTCTCAACAGACACTAGTGCCCACTGGGGTGAATCCCACTCGGTGGAGTAAGCTCCCTCCCCCCATAATCTGTAGACATGGCCAAACCCCACAGCCAATCAGCGTGGAGGCCAATCCCACCGCTGATATGCTAATAGCAATCAAGGATCAACTATAACAGGAGGAAACACACAACCCACACAAGGACACTCCTAGAACACCTGGAGCAGGTGCCAGGGAGACTGTACTAGGGTCCCACAGGGCACCTACTACACAAGGCCACCTGACTGAGACTGGCAGACATAGCAGGTCAACCTAACACATAGAAACAAACACAGAGAGACAGCCAAAATGAGGAAATAAAGAAATATACCCCAAATGAAAAAACAGGAGAAAACTCCAGAAAAATAACTAAATGAAATTGAGGCAAGCAACCTACCAGACAAAGAGTTCAAAACAATGGTTACAAAGATGCTCAAGGAATTTAGTGAGAACTTCAACAGAGAGATAGCAAGCATTAAAAAAAGGACATAGAAACCATAAAAAAAAGAACCAGTGAGAAGTGAAGGATACAATAACTGAAATAAAGAATGCACTAGAAGGAATCACCAACAGACTGCATGAAGCAGAGGATCGAGTCAGCAATTTGGAAGACAAAGTAACAGAAAACACCCAATCGGAACAGCAAAAAGAAAAAAGAATAAAAAAAATGAGGATCATTTAAGAGAGCTCTGGGACAACATCAAGTGTAGCAATAATTGTATCATAGGGGTACCATAAGAAAAAGAGAGAAAGCAAGGGACTGAACCTATTTGAAGAAATAATGACTGAAAACTTTCCTAACCTGGTGAAGGAAATAGACATACAAGCCCAGGAGGTGCAGAGAGTCCCAAACAAGATGAACCCAAACAGACCCACACCAAGACACATTATAATGATAATGGTAAAGGTTAAAGACAAAGACAGAATCCTAAAAGCAGCAAGAGAAAGGCAACTAATAACTTATAAGAGAGTCCCCATAAGACTGTCAGCAGATTTCTCAACAGAAATTTTGCAGGCCAGAAGGGATTGGCACAAATATTCAACGTGATAAAAAGCAAGGACCTACAACCAAGCATTCTCTACCCAGCAAGGCTGTCATTTAAAATTGAAGGACAAATGAAGAGCTTCACAGACAAGAAAAAGTTAAAGGAGTTCATCATCACCAAACCAGTACTACAGAATTACCAGAATGTTAGAGGGACTTCTTTAAGATTGGGGGGGGGGGATCAAAGTTAAAATTATGAATAATAAAATGGCAATAGCTACATATCTATCAAAAATTTTACTCTCAATGTAAATGGATTAAATGCTCCAATCAAAAGACATAGGAGGGGGCCGGCCGAGTGGCGCGATGGTTAAGAACTCGCTTGGGATGCCAGAGGG